ATATATATATATATATATATATATATATATATATATATATATATATATATATATATATATATATATATATATATATATATATATATAGTTAGTTAGTTAGTTAATTATGTTTAATATTATGATTCTTATACTTAAATAATTATATTAGCATCCTTATATTTATGAAAGTGAAACATCTAGATCTATTTATCATAACGTTGTCAGTTTTATAAAAAATATATATAAAAAATAAATGATAAAAAGATAATTTTAATGTTCTAGTTAGTAGTGACGGATGATATCAGTAGTGGCAAATGACGATACTGTAACTATAAGAGGTGAGGGTCACTCGATAACTACGTCGACGCTGATGTAGAGTGACCTTCATCTTTCGTCATCATTCTCCTCATCGACAACAGCCACTCATACTTACAACAGTGTCGTCATCGGCCACCACCAATTGAAGTATTAAAATTATTTTTTATCCATTTATTTTCATATTCTCTTTAATAAAATCGATAGCATTATGATAAATAAACATAGTTAAAGATAATTTAATCTTAAAAAAAAAAGAGATGCTCTTCGATAATAAATGAAAAAAGATGCTGATCTTGAAAAAATAAAATTAATTTTTTTCAATAAAATACCTCTCTCTCTCTCTCTCTCTCTCTCTCTCCTCTGGACACGTGTGTATATATACACGTATTTTTCTCTGCTTCCTGTGCACTTGGTTTTGATGCAAATATGCAATATCAATGCGCCTGGGCTCCACGTACCACGCGACGTGTCCCATGCAACGAGGAGGCAGGGCGCCGAAGAGGGGAGTGGTTAAAGCACCTGCTTCCCGTCTCACCTGCTACCGGCACTCGTCATGGACGCAGCAGCAAAGAAAACCTTCGTCACGGCGTGTTCCTCCTCCCTCGTCCTGTTGCTCCTCCTCCTCCTCATCTCTCCTCGCCTAACGTTTCCGTCGCCGGTCCAGGGTGCCGGCCATGGAGGTGGAGAGGGGGGGCAGCAGCAACAGCAGGGCCCGCAGCCGGCCGAGCGGGCCATCGGCCTCACCGGATTCGCGAACCCGTGGGATGCCGTCAGGACGTGGGCCAATCTTGCCTGGATGAATCTTCGGCCACCTGACTCGATGTCCGTCTTCTGCTTCTCCGAATCTCCCTCTCATCGCCCATGTCCGTTATTGTCTTTGTTCTTCAGGTCCTCTGTATATGTTCGTAAGGTGTTCGACAAAAGTAATTGAATGATGTGACACTTGGTGCAGGAAAAACAATGGAAGCAGTGAGTCGAGCGCAGGGGAGGTGGTGAAAGAAGCAGCCTCGAGGAGCTTCGAGACGAGCAAGGAGGCGGTGGGGCAGGCGGCGGAGTCGGCAGCGAAGACAGCAGAGGACGCAGTCCGCAAGAGCAACGAGAAGGTGAAGCGGACTGCCTCCGTGGCTGGTGGAGAACCGGATGCAGAGCTTTAGATCGATTCTTACTTACGTCTACGGTTGTAGCAGCGTCTGTAATCTCTCCTCTCTTACTATAGCTTGATGTGGTCTCTTTTCTCTCTGATTGTGGAAAGAATGGTTCCAATGGTTTCTTGTGCATCTCTCCTTTGTGATCTTTTGTTTCCAATGTTCTTCAGATGCTTGCAAGAGTTGTCTGTCTGTATTTTCCTCAAGCGGATGGTGTGCAACTATCCTCACGTGCAAGTACCACTCACATTGCCGTAATTGCAACTGCAGAGGATACAGTAAGTGTTTGAGTGATTATAATGAGATTGCAACTTAAGAAGCATCGCAAGCAAAGATTTGATGTAAAGAAAAGAAATATTGCATCTCTTGGAGAAAAAACCAAAACCAAAACCATCATTAGATCGTATTCTTGCAGTCAAAGGAACAACTTCGCAACCCTAACCAATTTGAACACAAAGAAAACAGTCGTAATCCAAAGAAAATGAGGGAATTATCTCCTGAATTGATCCTTACGATCATTTATGGTGGAAAGTTTCTGGCCCAATCAGAATTTATAGTGGAAAAGGAGAAGAAGTTGCTGTAGAGGAGTGAAGATTGACCTCGCACAGTGCAAACAATCTCTCCTTCTTCTCCTCCTTTCCCCCAGATTCGAACTTTTCTCCGAAACAAGAAGGGGGTGGACGAAGAAGGCGTGGGAACGAAAGCAGAGACATCCCCCGGGTGCCGGAGATGCCGGGCAAGATCACGGCCTTCCAAAGCCGCTGTCCGAGGTCCCAGATCGCCTCCCCGAACTCGCGCGCACTACCAAGGCCGCCGTGTGGGCTTACACCGGAAGACGAGAGATCCCCGAGGACCCACTTCATCTCCGGGCCCACCACAAAGGGCTAATCTTGGCGGACGAGGGGTTGCCATTAGAGATCGGCCCCCGAAGATAAAAGCGGAATCCATGGCGTTCCGCTCCTTCCCAGCCGAAATCTCCAAGCCCACGGCCTGGCCGCCTCCTCTAAGAGGCACCGCTTCTCTTCTCCCTCTCAAGATTGTTTCTTCTAGTGAAGTATCTTTGGAAGATCGGTGTTTTTTTTCTCTTGAATTATGGTTTTGACTCCATCCATCTAATCCTTGATTGAGGTTTCAGCGAACGATCCTTCCAATTCTGCTGCGATTCTTGGTTCGTTGATATGATTGTGTTGGATGGGATTCAACTGCTTAGGTTGCTTCTGTTCTTAATCGATGTAGGGGGTAATGCGGCTCGCTTGCCCGTTAATGCTTGCGCGGCGATGACTTGCTCTGTGGCTGCGGACGGAAACAGGCGATCGAAGCTTGTTTGGGTGTGGACTGAGAGCAGGCAGGTGATGACTGCAGCGGTTGAGAGAGGGTGGAACACCTTCCTCTTTCGCTCGGAATCACGATCCAACGACCTTGCCAATGAATGGTCATGTGAGCTACTAATGCCCGGGTTTCCCTATCCTCCGAATCAAAGCTGGGGTTGGATCTCCAGAACTGTGTTGTTTCTGATGATTGGTCTGGAAACAGTAGTGACTTATTTCTTGATCTCTGAAATGCATCTTCTTTCTTGCAATCTGTGTTTGCCGCATTCATCCGCATGTACTCTTCTCCAACATGTTGCGGTATCAGCTTGTTGGGTGTGCTTTAAGGATTAAGATGCTGTAACTTCAGCTACCTTGTTTTATGTTCTTATTTTGGCATGCCACACCAGTCTAACATGGTATGGATTTGAAGAATGCATTCCGATACATTCATCTGACTTGTTGAACATTGTGTGCTTCCATCTTATTCTTGCTAAACTGTTTTTGGTATCATCTGTGCAGCAATTGCCCTGATAACGCCTCTCTTTATTGATGGGAAGCAGCTGTTTGATGGACAAAGCAGAAAAATTGCATCCTTTTATGAGGTTTCATCTCCACAAGAACTGGAACTCTTCCAACCAAACACAGAAGAAGTAGACAACGTTGTCATAAATTTCCAGAATGAATGGCAGGTTCTCTGCTTGCTCTTGTTTCCCTTCTCATGAAATAAAACATGTTGTTAGTTATTCAGTGTTTGAAGTTGGTATCGTTAATGACTGGTTTATATATCACCATGGAAATGGAGACAAAAGTTTAGCATAACAAGTTTGGATTTAGATAGCTCAATCATATATATTTGTGTTGGAAATTATGCTAGTTTCCTTGTGCATCCTGTGTATATGGGATTTTAATAAAGACAATTATCTTTTTTTACGGCTTCAATAACCTATTATGCATTTCAAAGGTTATACCTGCGGAGAACATTGTCGCAGCATTCCAAGGGTGTAATAGGACTGTCTTAGCAGTTTCAGCTACTTCAACTGAAGCGCAAGTGTTTCTTGAGGTAATTTTATATTTTAGCAATTGAAAGAATGGAGCAAGTTTAGAAAAAGAAACAAAAAAAAAAGATTCTCAATCTTGGTAATTATCAGTGTCTGCTCTCGTTGTGCCATTTGAGATAACTTCCTAAAAGCATTTCACACTTTCTAATTTAGGCCTTGGAGCAAGGTCTCGATGGAGTTGTTCTGAAGGTTGAAGACATAGGAGAAGTTCTCAGACTTAAGGTACCTTGTGAGACATACATATCATTTTTCAGCTTCTATAAAATAGCAGTTCTCTTTTCCTGTTAAAATTGCTATTTTTTCACCATAGTTGTAGGTAACTATAGCAATTTGCAAAACCAAGCACACCAAACTCCAAGAGCAGTCGTAGAATAGAGATGCAACTGTGAGAGACTCTCATAAATGGCTTGATTATTGATGCCAGAAATGTATCACATAAATGGTTTGCTGCATGAACTAGACAACCAGAGGATGAATTAGCTTAGCAATTTTTCTGATGAATTGCTTCCTTCTTTTACTTTATGCAACTTGAGTGGATAATTTCTTCTAGTGTCATCATGGAAGGCTTTCACGGTGCCCTTCCATCAATGAGTTGTGCCAGGCAGTCGCACTTTGTTCACTATCTGGATCTAATTTAAAGATGAACAAAATGCTTCTCTATGTATCTGTGGGCTCATGCACTTCGCCATGCATTAAGATTTTATTTGTGAAATCTTGAGTGGATATCATGAGTTGACAAATTCTTCATGGCTGTTTATAGTTCTTCATTGAATCACAGTATCATGGACATTCTAATAATTATTTCTCATATTGGTGTTCAATATCTTCAGGAGTATTTTGACAGAAGAAATGAAGTCAGGAATATGTTAGCCTTGACTAAGACAACTGTAACTCGGGTAGAAGTGGTTGGCATGGGTGACCGTGTTTGTGTGGACCTTTGCAGTCTCATGCGACCGGGTGAAGGCCTTCTGGTCCATCTTTTCTTCTTTTTTAAATTTTTTTCTCCTTTCTGTTTCATAATTATCATATCATGACAGAGCTAATGAAAGAGTGAATACACTTGATGTGAAGTCCTTTTCCTTAGTTCCCCGAGACATCTAAAATTGCATGATTTTGATAACATTGTGTTTTGTTTTGTAGGTTGGTTCTTTTGCTAGAGGGCTTTTCTTGGTTCACTCAGAATGCTTGGAGTCAAATTACATTGCTAGCAGACCTTTCCGAGTAAACGCTGTTAGTATCAACTTTGCAATTTGATTTTTCTCCAGGCTACCTTCTTTTTGATAGCTAACTTTTGTTACTGAAATTATGAATAAGCAGCTCTTTGGAACTACTCACCGAGTACAAACTATTAAATTTAGTTATCAACGATCAACATTCTTTCCTTTTTATGGAATGTTGATTTAGCTAAGACAAAACATAGAAGTAGCTCTATTCACTCCTAGGAAGCAGTTCCAGCATGCTGAAAACAACAAAAGAACAAGTGATTCTCGTCAGATTCTGTTAGGTCATCTTTCTCTCGAAGCAAAAATGAATATACGTTGATGGTTAATATATCATGCTGTTTATTAATCTGTAGGGGCCAGTGCATGCCTATGTTGCAATTCCAGGAGGAAAGACTTGCTACCTCTCAGAGTTGCAGGCAGGTAAAGAGGTCATAGTGGTTGACCAAAGTGGTCTACAACGGACAGCAATCGTGGGTCGTGTGAAGATCGAGTCGAGACCACTTATCCTAATCGAGGCAAAGGTTTAACTGTTCCCCCCTGTTTCATTTTAACATGCCAAACTTTAGGTGGTAATGCAAAAAACAAGTTTAATCTTTTGCAAGATCCTTGGAACAGTTTGACGTGCCGGTATAGCGAAAAAAAGAGAGAGGGTAATTAAGGATAAATGAGACTGGTCTGTGTTTTATCCCTTTGACAAGGATACTTCAGTCTGCTACAACTCAATCTCTCGGAGAGAAATACTGAAAAAAAAGAGAGGAAAAGTTCAAACATATGGTGGTAGAGAAAAATTGTAGAACATTTGATATAGATATGAACATAACTTGTAGTTCTTAAGTTCCAAACTTGTGGTATATTTTACTGTTTCATATTTTATCGAATATGTCTGTTGCAGGAACACTCAGGAAATGAGACATACAGCATCTTTTTACAAAATGCAGAAACTGTTGGATTAGTCTGCCCTCGTGAAGGTTATTTCCTCAGTTCCTTTTCTCAAATCTCATCAAATTCTCAGTTGCTGCTTGCTAACTCTTCGATCTCGCGGTGTCCAGGAAACCAGACTACAATTCCAGTCACCTCACTCAAACTCGGAGATGAAGTCATGTTGAGAGTGCAGGGCGGCGCTCGACATACTGGGATAGAAATCCAAGAATTCATCCTTGAGAAATGAAACTGTTGGAATCAATCTCTGGAGGTTCTTCTCTTATCAAAATTTCTTCTTTATAAGATTTGTAATCTATCTTCCTCTCCCAAAATATGTTGGATTTGAACAAAAATCAACAGTGTGTTGCAATTCAACTTTCAAATTCCTTTTATTTGCACAGAAAGAAAAATGTGTTGCACATCAACATTCATTGAATCAACTTATATTCTGTTGTGTTTGATTCTACATAACAGCGAGCAGGATTTCTGGTAATTGCTTCTCATAATTGCATATGCATTGGGTTCTAATACATATTTCCATAATGTTCAGCGTCCAACTTGATCAAGGAATACAGAACCTGTTTTGCTGTATCGGTGGTTTTTGCTCGGTCTCTGAGAATGATCCAAATCATACCATGGTCTTCAAACTCTTAAATCCACATTTATAAGACAGGACGAGAGAATTCTCGTCTCTTCATCAAATCTAACAATGGAGATCAAGTGTTTGGCCCGACTTTAGCCCATCTCAACTATTCCCAAATCCAAGACAAGATTAAGACTAAAAACTAACACAGATAAAGATTAGTTACTAAGAAAGGGCAGTAACATTTGCATGAAGATTCCTTGCAACTTGCTAATCTGTAACATTTGCATCAACAGAAAACAGGAGAAAGACCAAAAGAATCAATGCAACCACCACTTCTTTCAGCTGGATCCAGATCATGCATTTCTATCACCACAAGGAGATCCACGACGAGCATTCCACAATAAATGATGCAAAGTAAGGAACACAATCTATAAACTTCCAGGAAGAAAAACACAACATAAACTAGCTAATCATCGTGATCGAAGATCCACTCTCAACAACATGAGTTTAAATGAACTCTTTTGGTCAGTGTAACAGTGGTGACTACTGATACTATGGCAACTGAGACCTAACAGCCACAGGGTGCAGTGGCTAATGATGATGCCTCGTTGGTGATTTAGAGATGACACTGGAGGGCTTATATTGATCGGCTTGCAGAGGAAATGCTGCAGACTTGAGATCTTGCAGTTGCTCCAGAGAGGCCAAGGCATCAGACATACGAGGCCGGAGTTTGGTCTCATGCTCGATACATTGCAATGCAAGCGTGGCGATGGCATGGGCTCCTTTCTTTGGATACTGGCCTTCCAGCCTTGTGTCCATGATCCGGTATAATTTTCGCTTATCACACAAATAGGGAATTGCCCATTCCACCAGGTTCTGCTCTATACCCATCTTTGTTTCGTCGATGGCCCGGCGACCAGACAAGAGCTCCAACAATACAACCCCGAAACTGTATACATCGGATTTCACTGAAAGTCTACCTGTAAATATTGGATATTTCTATAGTCAGTCCTAAAAAACAACCGAAGCAGATCCAACGGTTATTTGGTAACATATCTGATAACCAAAAAGGAAGGATCAATTATATATCAATGATTTGCCTACGATCATGTCATGTTACCTCCGGAAGAGAAGCATGGGCTTGAACTGTATCAGAAAGTAGATGTTTCTTCACGCACCAACTTTTGTGATCTATAACACATCCCTCTCAGATTCAAAGTTGCCCAGTTCTTTCAGCAAAAGTGGCAGTAGGAAACAGCATTATCAGATTGGCCTTCTAAGAGTCATATAATCAGGTCATTTAAGAACTTTTTTTTTTATCTTTGCTGGCTTAAAAATTCTATAAAATTTCTTTTACCTTGTGTTTCCCAATGCTAATTAAAAGTCACTTAACACAATGTGAATGTTATTTTGTTCTGAAAATTCTTTTCATTCTTACTAAGTGTACAACAACCAACTGATAAAAAGGGTGTCTAACTACTGACATTATCATAATCTCGTCTCATACATTTGAAAAAACAACATACTAATAAAAAATTAATATCAACAAGATCAGCATTCAAAAAACCTGTCGCAATATATTCTGGAGCTGCATATCCATGAGTGCCTATGACTTGGGTCGACACATGAGTTTTATCTCCAGTTGGTCCAGCTTTCGCCAAGCCAAAGTCTGAAAGCTTTGCGTTAAACTCCTGTATCATAAGAAAAGAAACATTCTAAACAGCATGTTTTTCCAACTAGTCATGAGCTTTCCTCTACCCCCTTTGTCCCTAATCTATACCCATTCTCTTGCTCTTTACATCCATATAGCATACCAAGTCTCTAAAAAAAACACATACCGAGTCAAGAAGGATGTTGGAAGCCTTAAAATCTCGATATATAACTTGAGATTCAGCATCATGCAAAAAAGTGAGTCCTCTGGCTGCTCCAATTGCAACCTTGATTCGTGTTGTCCATGAAAGTGGTTGAGCACTCCCTGAAGAGAAATATTATCAGAGAAGATTATTCGAAACAATAATAACACACCTCCAAAAAATATAGAGCTAACGAAAAAGAAATACTAATTTATTAAGTTAAGTTACATGTCATTGACTTTGTTGAGTCTAAACCAACAAATTAAGATAACTAATTTATTAAACAAGTTATCAATAATACACCCATTATACCATCACAAGTAATTCCAAATATTTGCAAAAGTGGAGCTAGAGCGAGGTGTTACAATCCCCCCACTTAAGGGATTGATGTCCTCTTCAATGCTCCATGTCGTTATGTACACTAAAGCTCCATCCACGGGTAATCCTTTACCACTTGAGGCCCTTACCATGCCTCAATATTAGGTCGGTTTTGATGTTCATCCTCCCCGTGATACCCTATTCATCCTCCCCTCATATGCTTCCATATCATGAAGAGAATTAATGTCCTCTTCAATGTTCCACATCGTAGCGTATCCTATGGCTCCATCTTTGATATGACCCGGTCATCCTCCCTAGGATATCCCATCTATCCTCCTCTCACATGCCTCAATATAGGTCCCTCATCCATCCTCCCCACACATACCTTAATATAGGTAGGTCTTACTTAAGGGATTGATGTCCTCGTAGTGAGATACCCTATGGTTCCCGCTCAAGCCCCTCACCATGCCTCGGTCAACTTTGATACTCGTGCATTCAACCCTCGCATGTCTCAATATATGCCAACCCTGATACCAATTGTTAGGGCCTAACCTGATAGGATAACTAACCTCTTAACTACATTGAACTTAACTACTCGCCCAAAATACTTCAATCTTATGTTAGCAATAGTACACCCATCCTTATAACTCAATCTAAGTATTTACTTATTTTCAATGTAGGACTAATTCAAGGTATTATAGTAACAAATTTGAGTTTGTATGCGAACATAAGCAATACATGAATGATGCAGAAAACAAAAAAGAGCTCAACATCATGTAAATATGGATTTTCTAAAGATGTAGTTTAAGACAAATGATATGCTTTTATTAGGTTAGGTTCCTTTGTTTCTTCCTAAACAATAGCAGTCCCCTAATTGAACAGTCAATGCATAATGCAAAGTAAAATCATGACACACATTCTTTCTATTACATACTTCTGAACAGATGATTTTCCAAGCTGCCTTTCGGCATGAATTCATATACCAGAAGCTTATTGTCACCCTCCGAACAGTACCCAATGAGCTTAACCAGATTGGGATGGTGAAGCTGACCTAGATAGTCGACCTCTGTCTGCGATCATCGGCCAGCAGTAGTCAAAACAAGAAAGTCTTAGCTTCAAGCATAAGGGAAGCAGATGTGTAGGAAGACACAAACCAGCCATTCCTTGTGGCCCTGGAAACTTTCAGGCTTGAGCTTCTTGACAGCAACAACCATTCCACATCCAGGCCTTGAAGCAGAAAAACTTTGTTCACCGATCCAACCTTTGTAGACATAACCGAAACCTCCTTCCCCGAGTAAACTGTCCGGACGAAAGTTTCTCGTGGCATTTTTCAGATCATTGAACGTGAAAGCCTTCAACTGTGACGAGGATAAGATTTCACCTTCAGTTCTTGGTGTAGGAAGACTCCCATTGCTCGTCTTATCGCTATAAGAACGCACAGACAGAGTTGAAGGGGTTGAGTATGTCATTGGAGTGGAAGAAACTGAAAACAAACTTCTTCCGGCAACCGCTTTCGAAGGATCTGTTTGTTTAGGAAGGAATAAAAACAAGAATTGTAGCATAATAATTAGCTTATGGATTGCAGAAAACAATGCAATCTGTCATGTTTAGGCATTTCCAGAGAAAAAAGCATGTTGTGACACCATTTTCTCATCAGTCAAAAGGCAACAATTTGCATTAGAACAGGACTGATCTTTGTTGTTATAAAAAGCTATGCAGCACCAAAAACAAGAATCATGAAAACCCCAAAAAATTCAATTATAAACATTTATGGCATGAGCAACTAGCAAATTGTCTTGTTTGGCACTTGAGTTCAGTAATCTACATAAAAAGGTTCCAACAATTAACGAGAGAAAGCACAACATGATGAAAGGGATTCTTGGAAAAATATGTATGCTAGCACTATCAAGAAATCTAATTGCAGAAAACCGAAACCCTACATGACCTAGCCTTCCTTCATCCCCAGGAACTAGAGCCAGAGTTCGACCAAATTCCCAGCTTCATGCTACAAAGCAGAATCTATGGCAGACTCGAGATATAATACATCGCAAAATCCAAAAGAAACCAAACAAATGGCCACAGAAAACAAGGTGGAAAACGTGAGAACTTCCAGTTGTAGTTCCTTCAAGACCGACTATTCTCTGCAATCGAGCCCACGATCCCATAAAAAAAAAAGCTCCAACTTTCGATCCGGATGCATCAGCAAGATCCCAACTTTAAGCAGGAAAGAGAGCACGCACACGGGGAATTCCGCGGGGCGCGGGCGTTCTCGACCAGCGACGAAGAGTCGACGCAGTTCCCCATCGCCTCCTCCCCTGTCAAGATGAAAAGGCCGCGGGCGCATCAAAGAAGTCCCCGGCCCCCGCAAGACTGCGTGGGGAGCAAGCGATTGGCGACCCAAAGGCCGTTCTTTTCCTCCCCAAATCGCTTATCCGCAGTGGTTTGGTGAGGGGGAGCGGGGGAAAGGGTAGCTTTTCGACAGCAACAGCGTGTTGTTACTATTACTGCTATCACGATGGAGAAGGCGAGTGAGGTTGGATTCGTGGCGGCCGTACGGTGTCGGAGGCGGCGTCTCCGTGACAAGTTGCGACGGTGGCGTCATCGTTAGATTCCAAATCTGAAATCGACATGGATTTCTTCCTGCTTCGCTCTGCGTTCCTCACCTCCGCTTTCTTGGATTGAAAGGCTAA